CTTGATTAAAGGTTCCTTTTGAAATAATCCGTTTCAAGAGTCTTTACTTTCTCAAGTTAGGAGAGGAGCCATTACACCTTGGTTGTGTTCTCTCAACCAACATACTAATTTTCTTTTGTTCATAGGCCAACTGAATTAGATGCTTTGGTATTTGGACACCTGTTCACAATCCTTACTACCCAGTTGATCAGCGATGAACTGTTGGAAAAAGTGAAAGGCTACCGTAACCTCATTGCATTTTGTAAAAGAATAGAACAACACTACTTTGAAGTTAAGACGGCCTAGTCCTTCCTTCTCCAAACTGTCTTTGAGGAACAGAATGCTTTTGATGATAGTAATAGTAAAATTAATATTTTGACTATGCTTGTTTTATTTTAAAAAGATAGTTGCACAGATTTGAAAATTGGGCTTAGCTCTCAAGCTGCGCCAAAACTGTTGTAGCCCAAGAAAACCTGTGATGAATTCAAGAAACCCACTGTATTTAAAGCAAAATTGAGTTTTTCATTATACATGTCTCTGTGCCATTTTAATATTCTTTTGAAGTGACCTTGAAACAATATTGTGTCAAGATGTAAAACAATAAAAGTTTAGACAATTCTATAAGTATTTTTCTTAATATTTTTAACTGCCTATATACATGCTACATTTTTACAATTATTTGCATTACAGCCATTAAACTACTAAATTGGGATTGGTTAAAGGTATCTATGTAAAATGTTTACATAAATAAAATTTGCATTTTTATCCTGCTATTAAATAGAATTCTCTTATCTGGTTATTTAAAATATTAACAGTAAATACCAAGAAAAATCACGCATAATGCAGAACCTCTAAAATGCATTAATTTATAGTAAAATGTAAAAATAATATATAAAAGATGAAATTATTCAGTTTTTAAATCATTCATAATTCTGGAGATCAAGAAAGTCAGTCTAAATAAACCCCCTGTTTTTGAGATGGTTATTTCTCTTTTTTAATTACACGCCTTTGAGTGTTTGCTAGGTCATCTGAAGGTATTTGTCCCACCTTATCTTTTTATATCCTGTGAAGACAGAAATTTGGTGATTTATTTTAAGTTATTAATTAGAACCTGTATTTAAATTATTTTTCAAATACAGCAAAGATGGAACCATCATATTGAATTCACAATTGACTATTCTTGCTTTTTTTAAATCAGTCTTTCCAATTGAAAACAAAGGCTATGAAAAAGGAATATTCTTGCTCTTTAAAATGCTTCCGTTCAGAGAATAAGTGGAAAACCAGTTCTTTGAAGATGGCTTGGCTGTTGCACATGTTTATCTAGGTTCCCATTTACAAAATGATTTTATTCTGAATTATGGAATAAAGGATTATTGTTCTTTGTGATGTCAGTAGCCAAATTTGTTTCCTGCTTGAATCATCAGTAATCTAAATACCAATTTACAAGACAAAATGACTGCAAGTCTTGTTCAGCAGCATCCAGTCAACCTTTTAACTTCTTAAAGCCTGACACCGTGCATTAACTCTGTTTGAAAGTGTCTCTTGGACTATAAATCCCCACTATCTTGAAATGACGTTGCAAGAGGATCTATTATAAGCAAATAAAGTGTGCATAAATCTATTTGAGCCACTTAGACTGCACTTAAAGATATGGAGATGAGTGAATTACATTGCAAACTCAATAAGTAAAGTAAGATGAGCAGCAAAGCTATTTCATATAAATATTTTTTGTAAACGTAGGTATATTCTTTGTCAGNAAATATACTCTTCTTTTCGCCCGCAGGAAAAGTGCCCTTCATTCATGTAGGAAATCAAGTAGTTTCAGAACTTGGACCCATTGTCCAGTTTGTAAAAGCCAAGGTAATGTGTATATATTTTTTAAAAAAAGATAAATACCTATTCAGCAGTTGTTTTAATTATTTGTTTATGAAATTATCTTGGTGATTTGATAACTTCATAGCTTTGAAAATTAAATACTTTATTCTTTCAGAAAACACTGCATTAATAAGCTTTTAAGATGTTATCCAGTTCAGTAGGTTACTTTTCTGCTGAGTGCTTATCTGTAAAAAGACTTGTACATTTCTATCTATTATTATTGGGCTGAACTCTTATTTTTGTACAAATGTTATTCTGTACAATATTTACCTTCCTCTCTCTATATATGTCCATATTGAAGAAACTCTGTTATTTATCCAGGCAGCACACAAATTTGTATTACCCAAGAATTTCAGAAAGGGGTCCTACAGCCTTGCTCATCCTGATATCTTCTAGTTGTATTTAAGTTGCAGCTCCAAGATCTCCCCAGTTAGCACACATGAGATCCTTAAACTGAAAGAAGTTTAAATAATAATTATTGTAAAGTCTCCTTTGAATAGAGTTCAACTGGTGAGGTAATGAGTTTGCTCCTGTAGTTTTCCTTGCAACAATACAGAAGGAGCATGACATTGTCTTTTGGATGTTTTTTAATACTTCCCAATGTAACCTATAGAATTGGCATTTCTTGGTTATTTCCCTCCAAGGACTGACTAGATTCAATCTTGATTGGATCACTTGATTCAGGAAAACAAACTCTTGTTGTTGGGCCATCTTCTGAAAATGAAATTTGTGTAATGTAGGTTTCATAATTAGGTCTTCACATTGGTGGGCGAAAGAAATGAATTTTCCCTTTCTTTAGCTCCTTGCATGCTCTGAAAGTATCTTGGGAGTCTGATCAAGTTTCAAGAGAGTAAGGGAGATGGCAAGATATCTGTAAGGAAGAAGGAGTGAAGATAGGCTTCTTCCAGTAGGACCTTTCAGCCAAATCCATATTTCTTTTGGATACAGCATTAATTCCATTTTGAAGCAAACATAACCCAAATATTCTGGGCTTCATACATGGTGATATGCATCATTTGAATATCTAAATATTTTCTGTTGCTTAAATTTCTCATACAATTAGTATGTATATGTGTATGTATAATTTTGATTTTAGGCGAGCAGCTTTTCCTTCCAACCTTTCTATCTTGAAAATTTACTAATTCAAGTGGCCTTAAAAGCCAGTTCCATAACTGAACTGATTAATAAATAGATTTCTATTTTTACCCTTTTCTCTAATATTTATTTTCTCAAGAGTTTTTAGTTTATTCTGTAATACGGTACGGTGATGCAATGTTATAATATCAACTTGTTTGTTGATTGTTTTCAGTTGATATACAGTAGATAGAAATTTATAAACTAATTACATGGTAATTAAATGGGGAAAAGCTAGATTGTAGGTTGGCTCCTAACATTTGTCTAGTGTAAACATATTTCTGATTATATATTCAAATACAACAAGGCTTCATCAGTAAATACCTAAAGAATTCTCAGTTGATTCAGCTGAGACATATCCTTTTTAGGTGCACTTTTTTTTAAACCAATTGTAGTGGTTTAGATGTCTCTTTGAAAGGGCTTCCATTTTTCAAATTGTTTCTCTGTATGTCTTGGCTCTATAGGAAGAGGCCTGAGCTGTCCAAAAGCTCTTTGGATCCTGTCCTACATCTAAGATAGGGTAGGCATCACCCCAGTGGTCTCCAGAGGGTTTGGATTGTAACTTTGATCGTTTCAGAACCTTGGCCATGCTTGCTGTGGCTTTTGAAATTAAGATTATTATTTTTTTTTAAAAAAAAGAAATGCACCACCAAGTTGGCTATTCCCGATTGCTGCATGCTCTGTTTGCTTTCTTGGCTGTTGCCAAGAAATAATGTTGCACTTAGTACTTGGCTTCTGCAAACTACTGCATAGAGAACACTTTGTTTAAATCTTAAAAAATTCCAAATAATCAATATTTATGCTTACTCTTGCTTCTTTCTTTAGTCTTGTAAATCGATACCCATGCATCGTATTTTAATAAGGTATTTACATCACCATAACTCACTTCAGTTTATTTACAAAGATGTATTTATAAAAACCACTCAGCAGAAAAGCAAAAGAAAGGTCTGTAGCTGGAAAGTTCTGTTTACTGATCACTCTGTACTTTTCTATTTAAAAGATTTCAATTCAATATCCCCCACCCCCCCATCTCCCCAGAGCCTTTAATAGTCTTTGTGGTCTACAAAGCTGCCTCTTATGTGTAATGTTGCAAAGGATTGTTTTGAATGAGAGAAGGGCCTGGACTTCAATAAAGTTTGGAAAGGACCCAAACGGATAATTTTTGCTCTCCTTTCTCTTTCCTTCCTTCTCTCCTGCCTTAGGGCCATTCACTTAGTGATGGGTTGGATGAAGTCCAAAAAGCTGAGATGAAAGCCTACATGGAATTAGTCAATAATATGCTTTTGACAGCGGAGGTATGGCAAAACACTAGTAATTTGTCAGTCTTGGGAAATGAATTATATCGAAGAGGGGGAATAAAATGCTATTTTCTTTGTAACATTGCAAGCCACAGCTACCATTTGTGTATAAAACAAAAAAGGTGGACTTACGATTAACAGTGCTTCTCAAAATGCAGCACCCTGTTAGGTACACTTCGCAATCCTTTTCAGGTTATTTTTGGTGCACTGAAATACTGCATTTGCTTCATGATAGATCTAGTAGCCGTATTTATGTGTTTTAAATGTTATTAATGGCTTGTTTGGTAGAGCTAGGAGAGAAAGCTGCAAGGAATAAATGACTGTGTAACCTTCTCCATTATGAAGTTTAGTATTCTTTGGTTTCTAGCTATATCTTCAGTGGTGTGATGATGCTACAGTCCAGGAGGTGAGTGATTCTGCAGCATACATCTTAATTAAATTTTAATGAGAAAACACTTTTGCTCACAATTGCAAGTCCCTACTCATAAATGAAACATAGAGGTTTATACCACTAATGATACCAATTTTTTTTTTTGCTTTAATTTTGCTTGCATATACATTTCGGGTTACTCTATGTCATTATTGGATGTGCTGGTTCTAAAGTGAAGAAAAAAAATTAATATCATTTTAAAGGCTTGCTTTTTTTAAGCTGCAAGTTATAAATAATTGCACAGAATCAGGTTCTGAGGCAGAACCACGGCAATAAAATCATTGTTAGACTAGCCTTTTCTAAAAAACAGTTTTGTCAGTTATATAAGAACACAATAATCCTTTTTCCTTCCCTTTAAAGATTACTCATCCAAGATATGGTTCTCCTTATCCTTGGCCTCTGAATCGTATTTTGGCCTATCAGAAGCAATGGGAGGTCCAGCGTAAAATGAAGGCTGTTGGCTGGGGCAATAAGTCACTTGATCAGGTCAGTCATTAGTTTCCAAGTCTGATCCCCACCCCCTTAGAAAATGTAAAATGTAAGGTTTCAGGGAGGCACTGTAAATTNCATATAGCTCTTCAAGTTGTAGTACGTATGTATATGAAGAAAGATGATGGAGTTTGGTCACCAAGCATAAACATAACATAGAAAGATAAACACAATTGGAGTAAAACCTGAAAGAAACACTCATGATGCATTGGAAGCTCATTAGTTCTTTATAGTGAGAAAAAGGATCATTTTTCTCTAAATGATTAAAAAAAAAGACTGCTGCAGACTATCTGATTTGTATTTCTTTTATTGTGAATTTATAATTTCAGTTTGTGATTTGAAACTGTAATTGTGTTGTAAACCGGAGAGAGACCTAACAGTATAATGCCAGTCTGACAATCCATTCTTTAAGTAGAATAATAGCTGAAATTCTTCATGATTAGAAATACAGTATCAACATAATCGATTTAACAACATTACACCGGAGCTGAAAATAGACTGAAATCCCAAGCCAGGCATCCACCGTGTCTGAGTGAAACATCTTTCATATGGTTCTAAGATGAAATTACTCCTGAATGAATAGCATCTTCATTTATCTTCAAAGCCTCCTCTGTGGTACCAGCGAATGTACTCTTCACACATTCTGCTGCAGGAATTACATTACAGCAGCATTCCAGGGTAGTATAAAACTGATTGTTCTGGAAAATGAACCTGGCTTTGCAATAAATTACATTTGCAGGTACAAAAGAACATGTTACTTTGTTTAAAGTAGTCACAAATACAATTAAACTCTTAATTTATGTTAAACTACAAATGTGACTATTATCATAACTGCATTAGGCATATACTCTATCATTCCAAGAATGATATTGGACCATTTTTATTTATAATTTTAGACAGACGGTGCAATTTACAGCATCTGCCACCGCTTGATAGGAAAACTGGAATATTTTGTGCATTAGTTCATGTTGTATAATTTCCACTTTTTTCCACTTGTCATTTTTTAATGAAAGAAAATGCAGATCCCCTTCAGTGTCTGCATATTGACATTCTCTACAGCCATATTTTAAATATTAATTATTATAATACTACTAGGACTGGCTTTGATTTATTTATAAGATTAATAATATGCAATTCCAGAGAAGCCTTGTTATTACTCAAAATATCTCAGCTTGGAATCTTTCTTCATACTTTATGGAAATCTCCCCTCTTCATGTTGTTTTGTGGGAATTGGTTTATGGAAATTTTGCTTGTCTGGAATGTGTATTCTGTTGTGGTGGAAGAACCTGAAAAATCAAAGCAAAAGGTTTATTAGGGAGCAATGCTTTTATCATTGCTGCCCACTGTTCTTCATTTTCAGGTATAGCCACAAAGCCTATTTGACTAGTCTAGCTTTGATATGTTTGGGAAGTAAACCACTCTTGTTTGTTTACAGATCTGACCTGTTTAGGTGTTCAAATACCTTAAGACTTTTGCTTTTTTAGGAGTGAGAAATTTCTAAACAGAGATGTCTTCTAGGGAGATCCTTACCTACAGTTTAAGTTCCTAAGTTTCTAGTCCATTAGAAGAGCCAAGATTTATTTTTCAGTCAACTCAGGTCTGTATAATGGAATGATCTCCCCGTAGAGATCCGGACCCTTACTACTCTTCCGGCCTTCGTAAAGCTACGAAGACCTGGCTGTTCCAGCAGGCCTGGGGCTGTTTATTATTATCCAGCCCCACTCTAAGCAGTATGCATGATGTGTAATTTTTAAAAATTGTATTTTATTTTTAATTTTATAGTTGATTAAAGTTAACAGAAGGACAAAAGAATGGCATCTTTTTAAAAATGTGAAGTGGGCTATACTTTAATTTGTCGGCTGATCTCCATGAAAAATTGGAATTGTAGCAGAAAGTTTCATCAATTCATTTTAAAACTACAATTATTCCATTATTGCCAAAACGGAATGTAAAGTTTTTTTTTTTTTTTTGGGGGGGATGCAGTTACTTTTTTAGAGAGAGGTTATCACAGTAAAGTACAAGAAAATGGAGATGCTGTATATTTCAGATTGCTTAATTCTCTGTTCATTTATAGTTGGGTCCAGAGTGATGAATTTGTGATAAGTGCAGTGTTAGAAGCTAGCACCTAGAAGTATAGTTCTCCCAGTTATCTGTTTTGGAAAATAATTATAAACAAAAGGAATATTTCTCGTGGCTTAAAATTACAAATATTTTTTAAAAAAATGTATTTGTATAATGTGGAAAATTTTAATTTACTCTTCTTTATTTTCAGGCTTTTTTACAAATGTGCAATCTGCCAGTCCAGGTGGTTTGTAGGGCAAATGCAGNCCTTCCATCCTTCCGAGGTGGGTAAAATGAGGACCCGGATTGTTGTTGGGGGCAATATGCTGACTCTGTAAACCGCTTAGAGAGGGTTAAAAGCCCTATGAAGCGGTATATAAGTCTAACTGCTATTGTTATTGTTATTGCTATTGCTATATGGTATGAAACACCAAAGGTTTTTTGGGGGCAACAATGTGTATATTCTGAGATGTGGTTTTTAATAGAGAATTTACAAATTGTTGCAGAAATAAAATTGAAGAAACTTAAGACAGGAGCAATGAGATAGAAATCTGATACATTAAATTCTCTCTGAACCTATCCAGAAAGAAGACCAAGTCAGTCAGTGAGATGGTCAACGTCTGTGGTTACTGTTTTTCTCTGTAGGTTCTTTCTTCACTCCATTTTTTTAATAAGACTGATAATACTTTACCCTTCCTTTTTTTTTAATGTCTTCCTGCCGAGAAATAAAAGGGGGGGAGGGAGAATCCTGTAAAATCATTCCTGATATTTTTCTAGTCAGGATATGCAGGTATAGGTTTCAAACACTTGGAATTTTAGGATTTGTTGTTTGATATCTTCTATTTCCTATTTTTTGAGACTGGAATGGTAATTTTTTGTGATAAATATTCTCAGGATTGTAGAGATTATAAAGACGTGCTGATTGCTTTATTATGAATCTGACTCAGATCTCTATTCGGGCAGAAATTATTTTCTCCCCTTTAGATAAATTATTTTGTGCCGTGTGTGTGTGTTTGTGTGTGTATGTGTGTGTACGTACACGCACACACGCACGCACACACACAAACACACACACACACACTCTTAATTACTTACTTACTTCATCTCAGTTGCTTTCCAGCTTTCAGTGAAACAAATATCCAGAAAGAGGTTTCACTGCTTCATCTTTGGAAAGAATGGAAAAGTAATATAATGTACACAGAAAGTAACAATGTCAGTAGCTTTGTAAACTTGGTGTTTTAATGGAAGGTTGCTAAACGTTTTGGGGAGTTAAATGATATAACATCCTTTGTATGATATGCCAGCAATGTAAAGGCATTAGCATGGACTAGACCAAATTAAATTTAAGTCAATATATTGAAATGTATTTAATTAGCAGTAAGTGTAGTATGATATCACGCAGTCCTGGGATGTCTGAACCTGTACCCTTGTTAAAATTGAATAGGGAGCAGCAGACAGTGTTCCCTCATGGTTTGGTGATGTAAATATAGTAATTAAAGTAAGTGATAATATATCCCATATAGCCAGGGGTGGGTTTCAACCGGTTCGCAGCGGTCCCCGCGAACTGGTTGGTCGGCGAACCTGGAAGTAAGTAACT